ATGTTCCCGTGAGTGATCTTGGCTGAGTTATACCGGACTTATGTTCCTGATCCACAATATTGCACCCCGTGATATGGGAGGAAAAAGAGATAGTAGTAGCTGTGAATGACTCTCGGTTAATTGCTCAGCCTGCTTCGAAACACCTGATGATGCAAGTGGCGACGAATTTTTATTATTTGGAATCGGGAAGCGGGTTGCCTATTCTGTTAAAAATGATAATAAGTCTGTGTGTGTACAAGTAGATGACTGTGTGCTTGTGGGACAAGGTGGATACTGTACCAATGTCAAAGTGTTATTGCCAAGAGATAATAGAGAAAAAAATTTCTCCACAAGCATTTCCACCCTGTAAGCAGAGGTAGATATTCTAAAAAGATTGAAAGCCACCTTACAATTGTGGTCCTCTATCACTTCCATTGTGAGTGGTTTAGCAGGACTTAGCATGCTTTTCCTCCTATGTCTTTGATTTCATCTGGTGGCAGTAAAGTTATTTATGAAATCCTGTGGCAAGACAAGGCCGCTGTGCATGATATGAGATTGCACTCCCTCCCCTAACAGAGGCCGGTAGTCAAAGACAGGTAAGATCTTCTGGGAGAAAGTCAACCTAAGACAGGGCATAGCTGATGGAAGCTGCGTGCTGATGACGGGTAAGGCTTTGCTCTAGCAGAAGACAACCTAAGACAGGCATGGTCCTTCTGTCCTAGATATAACATAATCTGGGGTTATAAAAAATAAAAAAGGGGGAGATGTTGGGAGCTATTAATCCATTATGTACATTGAGCTGTGGCAGGCTTGCTTTTTTAGAGTTTGTGTTTTGCACACCAGTACCTAATCTGCTGAGTCAGTAGGCATGTGTTTATATGGTGGAGTTCACAAGTATTTGACCGCTCCTTGACCCTCAGATACAGGTGGGAAAAACAGCTGTTGAAGCTAATTGAGCTAAGCAAACTGTGGCTGTCTCTGATGTTCTTCTGTATAAAAAGGAGGAGCTAAAATAAACCGGGGCTGCAGTCTCTACTGATGGTCCTCCCAAGCATCTTTTCTCTGTCTCTTATTCTTTCTTTCAATCCTCACTCCCCCTTTCAGGTACTGTCCATCTTGGCTGGCTGGCATCGGCAATAGTTTAGTCAACTAGTTTAAGGAACAAAATATATGTCTAGTCAAGGTTTATCTGACAACATTTGGTTTTTTTCCCAAGCTTTATCTACATAGCATATGGTAATTAAAAGTACCAGACTTGGTAGAACTAACCTTATTGGATGTTTAACAGCCATACTTTGAGGCCTATACTAATCTGGTCAGAGGGACTTAAAGGATGTTTTTTGTTCCTTGCCCTCCAAGGTTGACTAAGTTCCAGGGGACTACGGAGCATCTCTCAAAATGTCCTGTAGCTGTAGTGAGTCACCTGTCCTTTTGTTCAGGGAAGCCATGGAGACACCCCCAGATGGACCTGAACTAGTGTCCAGCCTACAAAGAGGAGGGTCAACTCAGAGGAGCATTTCTTCCATGCTTCCAAGTGAAGCCAGCCACAGTCGAGCAGGACCTTTGACTTATCTTCACATAGACGGAACTGGTAAAAGGAGCCAGGGGCTCCTCCCAAGCCCATATGACCCCTAAGGAACAGATCCTCCAATAACCTGAAGAGTAAAAATAAATTGTTTATTTGGGCCAACTGTATGGTCTTAAACACCCAAAAGGAAAGAATAACCAAAGATTAAAGTGATCGGTATATTTCTTTAAGAGTTCAAGGGATTATACTTCCCAGACATTAGGCTTAAGTCCATATAAAATGTTATTTAGACAATTATTCTCACTGATGATTTTGTTTCTAATCAGAAAGTGCTGCTCAGATGTAAGACTTCAAATCTTGGTCTGTAATACTGTAGTGCCCACCTGTAGCTAAGGAGAGATAACCCACTATTGTTCTAAAATGATGGCTAAACTTGTTGTCTCCCCCTATCTAGAAGTCTTTGAGAGGGAACTGACACTGTTTCTAGCCACTCCAACAGCTATCAAAGTGCCTACAAACAAATCCCGAGTCCATCACTCTCGAGTCCAACCTTGACAGACAAAAGAAAAATGAAGAGGAACCCAATAGAGGGATGCTTTTGGAAGTTCTCATCAAGAAATCCCAATGGACTCATATGAACATTTGAAATTTTCCCTGTTCTGACTTTTCTCTGGTTCCCTGTCTAGAACTTGTAATGAACTACCCTTGCCTTTACTTCTTCACAACTCCTATTCACCAGTCAAGGACTTTCTCCCTACAGATAAGAGTTATACAATTTGGGAGTCTTTTAAGATAAACCCACTGAAGAGGTATCCCAAATGCCTCACCCTGCATCCCTGTTCAGCATGGAAGAAGCCAGAGCGGTCTGTGTCCCAATTTCCTATCGGCAATTTGGGTAACCTCTTCAGGGGATGGTGTGATAATAACAGGAGGTAGGAATTGGCTAGGCAGAGTAATAAGACCCCAAAGACAAGTAGCCAGTTTCTTGGCTAAAAGTCAAAATGTCCTTAGGCCTTGTAGCAACAAACTCTGTTCCAAAGGCCAAAAATGGCAAAAGTATTTGGGAGTTCTTATTTAATCTCTAAAAGATTTTAGGGTTACCTCTTCAGTGGGAGGAATATTAGAGTAGCAAAAAGCCCCGGGAGGGAGGGAGAAGACATGAAGTTGTCAGAAAAAAGTGATGGGTAGATATGGGAGGTGTTTGTAGGGGAGGGAGTGGGCATGGATTTGATCAAAACATCTTATATGCATGTATGAAATTCTCAGTTTTTTTAAAGGTTAAAAAAAAAAAAAAAAGACAACCCCACCCCCCAAAAAAGATGAACAAATTTTGGAAATTTCTGTGTAAGATTATGGAATACAATCTGCCTCTGTGTGAGTCAGTAAGGAAGGGTCAGGTTAAGGAAAACAGACACTATTTCTTTTTTTTTTTTACAGCTGCTGTTCCTTATGCAGGTCCTACCCTAAGATATAAAATTTAAGGGCAGGAAAAGCCTGCAAAGCATTAATTTATGCCTTTTTTGACACCACATTCACTAGTTTCCAAAAGTAAATGGGCAACACAAAGGCAATTTATGTTTGTTTCTTATATGCAGACTCTAGATTTAAATTTCTGTGGATGTATACATGTATGTAGGAAGTAGGAGGGGGCTATGAGAAGGGAGCAAGAGGTCTAAAGGGAGGGGTGGGGGAACAAGAGAGGGTCAGGTAGAGGCAGAACTTGGGAAGGGGAAAAATGGGTAGGGCACCATGGAAGGCAGTGTAGAGCATGGATTAAAAACAAAATATAGCCAGGTGTGGTGGCACACGCCTTTAATCCCCGTCTCAAAAACCAAAAAAAAAAACCAAAAACCCAAAATACAACATATATATATGAAAATGTCAGTGAAACCCAGTTTTCTGTCGCTAACCAAATTATTAAAAGAAAAAAACCAAAGAGGGCTAGGGAGATAGTTCCATTGGTAAAGTGCTTGTTGTACAAGCACAAGGACCCGAGTTCGATCTTAAGAACTCGCATCAAGGGCTAAGCATAGAGACACATGCTTGCAATCTCAGTGCTGGGGAGGCAGGACAGGAGGATCCCGGGGGCTCACTGGCCAGTCATCCTCACCTAGTTGGTGAGCCCCAGGTCCCAATGAGAGACCCTCTCTCAAAAAAAGTTAACAGTTGTCCTGAGGAATAGAGCCCGAGGTTGATCTCTGGCCTCCATCCATCCATCCAACACATGGTGGTGGTGGTGGGGGGGACGGGACAAGGAGGCGGGGCAAGGAGTGGAAGGGGAGAGGTAAATCTCTGTTCTCTGACCCAGGAGGATATGAGACAGGAGTGAGTTCTCATTAGACCCCAGAGGCCACCACATAATGATCTCACAGCTGACTTTTTTAAGGCAGGGTCTCCCTATAGCCCCAGCTGGCTTGGAATTCACTATGTAGATCAGGCTGGACTTGAACTCAGAGACATCTGCCTGTTTCTGCCTCCCAAGTGCTGTGATTAAAGGCATGTGCCACTACACCCGGCTGACCCCTAAATTTTGTGTGTGTGTCTTTTTTGAGATAGGGTCTCCCTGTAGTCCCAGCTGACCCGAACTCACAACGATCCGCCTGCCTCTGCCTCACTATGTAGATCAGGCTGGCCTTGAACTCAGAGATCTGCCTGCTTCTGCCTCCCAAGTGCTGTGATTAAAGGCGTGCGCCACCATGCCCGGCAATCCCTAAATTTTTAACTTCTAAAAATAGAAATAAGGCTGAGCCTGGTGGCACAGGCCTTTAATCCCAGCACTTGGGAGGCAGAGGCTGGCAGATGCTGTGAGTTAAAGGCCAGCCTCATCTACATAGAGTTCCTGGCCAGGTGGGGCTACAGGGAGACCCTGTCTCAAAACAAAACAAAACAAAACCTCAAAAAACTTAGGGGTCAGGGTGTAGCACAGCAGTAGAGGCCTGCCTAGTACAGTGAAGCCCTGGGTTCCACTGCAGTACCACACACACAAAAACAAAACACACCACAAGTTTCAAGACAGTAGTTCTGGGTCAAGGAAGCAGGTGGCAGGAGGTGAGGATCAGGGCCAGAAGAGTCACAGAAGCAGGTACAAGCTATTATGATCATTACTGTCGTCTTGCTAAGTGATAGGATCATGGGTGCTGGTGACCAGAGACACATGGACAGAAGTCAGATGGAGGAATGGATGTACTCTGTAAGGCCAGGACATGCATGGAACAATGCTGAAAGTGAGTTATATGCTATGATCAATGAATAGTCCAATTCTAGTTCCTTGAAGTCCAAACGGAAAAACAATTTTAAGAGCCGAGAAAAGAAAGAAATTACAGATAATGGAACTTAAAATACAGACTTGCACTTATGAAGTGTACTAGTTCCTTAGGCAGAATGCATTAAGTTTTGGTCCTTTAGAGAGAGCTGAAAAAAAAAAAAAAAACCCAAACCCCAGAACTATACCATCCCAGAAAATATATTAAGATAAAAAGTTAGACCAGCTTACCTCTTCTTGAATGTACTGTAACAGGAAGGGAGATGCCCTTAAGTTATCCACGGGAATATTGAAGAAGCCCTGGATTTCCTTCTGGTGTAAATCCATAGTGATGAGATGAGTCAGACCTTCAAATACAAAGCAAGTGCAGCACATCATCAGCACTGCTGGAAACATGCTGTACACCGGGAGACACTGCATTTGACACCATTATGAAAGCACACTGTCCTGCTATCAATACTTGGTGCCTTCACTGTTTAGTACCACGAGATGCATGTTTTTCACTTCAATCTCAAGTATACAAGCAGCAGACTGAAGGAATGGCTTACAGTCCATTAAAAGTGCTTGATGCTCTCACAGAGATCCCAGTTCAATTTCTAGCACCCAGGTCATGAGGCTTACAACCTCTTATAACTCCAGCTCCAAGGCCAAGCCTTTTTCTGGCCTCTCACACATATACACATAAATAAAAACAAATCTTTACAGAGTACAGAAATAGCAGAGATGACTATAACACAGAAATGTCTCTAAAACCTGTTAGAGAAACTGGATCTTCTGGAGTCTTAAATAGGGACAGCAAAGGCTGCTCTGAACATACTATGACCCACTGCACAGTGGAGTGAGAAAATCGGAACCTTTGTCCTCACTGTGTCCTTAAGACAATCAAAATGACTACCAGAAAAACATGTGGGAACATGTAAGTACTGTAAGAAGCAGTACTTGCCCCAAGGAGCAAGCGAGCATGAATGTAGGGAGAGGGATCCAACCATGAGCAAGTCTGGAAGAGAAAGAAGAATCTTCCAGAAGACTCAGTAATAGGCTGAGGAAGACTCCCCTTACCAATAGCTAGTTTCAAGGGGTATGATGGATAACATTGTCAACTTGACATGATTTAGAATCACCAAAGAGACAAGCATGTGAGGGATCATCTAGCTTAGGTTAGCCTCTAAGGAACTATCCTAAGTTGATGTAGGAAGACCCACCCTAAATATGGACACACTATTCCCTGGGCTGGTGTCTGGGAATGTATAAAAAGGAGAAAGTCAGCTGAGACCAGCATTCATGGATCTTCTCTATCTGACTGCAAAAGCAGTATGAATACTTGCTTTGAGCTCCTGGGGCCTTTACAACTTCCCTGCTATGATAGACAGTACCTCAAACTCTGAATCATAATAAACTATCTTTCCCTTAGGTTGCTTTTGTCAGGTATTTTGTCACAGCAGTGATATGTGACTAATACAGGCTGCATTTGGCTGAGGTTGTTAGAGTTTATGTTTTTTAAAGTGTTTTGTTTTTTCTTCTTTATAATGCTACACTGAAAAATGTATTCTACAATAAGTATCTCTAAGAAGCAGGGATTTCGAGAAGTTTTCACTTCATCTGCACAAAGCTCTGTGATCTATACCATTTGTAACCACAGACACACATGAACAAGTATAGACAGAAATGGGACACACACAATGGCAACTAGGAAGAGTATTACAAACAGGTGTACAATACTTAGGTTTAGAATGAACAACCTACAGAATGGAAAAAATCTTTGCCAGCTATACTTCAGATGAGGAGAGAGGGGGAACCTAGAATATAACCACAACATTTAAACAAAAAACCCCAAACTGACAAGTGAGCCAATGAACTAAAGAGACAGTTCTCCAAAGAAGATGCACAATGACTGGTAAATATTTTTCAAAGCATTCAACATTCTTAGCCATCAGAGAAATGTAAATTAAAACTACCTTGAGATTCCACCTTGCCCCAGTCAGAATGGCTATCACCCAGAAAATAACAAATGCTGGTGAAGATGTAGGGAAAGAGAAACCCTTACCCACTGCTAGTGGGAATACAAACTGGTGTAGTCACTATGGAATCAGTGAGGAGGTTCTTCAAAAAAGTAAAAACAGAACTATCATACAAGTCAGCAATACTACTCCCAGGCAGATACACAAAGGACGGATTCTACATTCTACTACAGAGACATGCATATCCATGTTCACTGCTGTTCTATTCATAATAGCAGGGGAATAGAGTCAGCCTAGATGTCCATCAGCTGATGAATGGATAATGAAATTGTGGTATATATATACACAATGGAATTCAAGGTGGACGTCACTCGAGGAACAATGTCTAAGGTTGACCTCTGGTCTACAGCTCTACACACAGAAACACAGGGACATGTTTTAAAATATGTATAATGGGGCTGGAGAGATGACTCAGCAGTTAAGAGCACAGGTTGTTCTTGCAGAAGACCCGGGTTCGAATCCCAGAACGACATGGCAGCTAACAACTGTCCGTAACTCCAGTTCCAGGGGATCCAAAGGCCTCTTCCGTCCTCTGCAGGCATTGCACAACATGGGTACACTTACCTACATGCAGGCAATACACTCATACGCTTAAAAATAATAGCTAATTTTTTTTTTTGGTCTTTTTGAGACAGGGTCTCCCTGTAGCCCCAGCTGTCCTGGAACTCACTATGTAGACCAGGCTGGCCTCGAACTCACAGAGATTCGCCTGCCTCTGCCTCCCAAGTACTGGGATTAAAGGCATGCACCACCATGCCTGACCTAAAATATGTTTTTAAAAATGTGTAATGGCCAGGTGTGGTGGCGCACACCTGTAGTCCCAGCACTTGGGAGGCAGAGGCAGGCAGATCTCCGTGAGTTCAAGGCCAGCCTGGTCTACAAAGTGAGTTCCAAGACATGGGGCTATAGGGAGACCCTGCTTCAAAAAGACCAAAAAAAAAAAAAAGTAATGATGAAACCTAATAATCTAATAATCTGTATGATAACTGAAAATATAAACTATATTTAAAATACTTAGGCTGACTCTAGAGGCAGAGGTAGGCAGATCTCTGTTGAGTTTGAGGTCAGTCTGGTCTATATAATGAGTTTTCCAGGCCAGTCATGGCTACATACTGAGGCTCTGTCTCCAAAAAGAAGTGAGTGCGTATGTAGGGATGGGGTTGGGGGTGAGCTAGGGCTTGAGAGATGGCTCAGTGGTTAAGAGCACTTGATGTTCTTGCAGAGGACCTGGGTTTGGCTCCCAGCACCCATATGGCAGCTAACAACCATCCCATAACTCCAGTTCCAGGGGGTCCAATGCTCTCTTCTGGCTTCTATGGCATTGTATGACCTGGGTACACATACATACATACATGCAGGCAAAATAGTCATACATAAAAAATAAAAATAAACTGAAAACCCCTTGGGCTGTTACATGAGAATGTTTAAAGGAAAACAATATATGTGGTTTACAAAATACAACTCTCCTAGAGACAGAAGAGGCTAAAATGCAAACGGTTCCAGTACTACAGTCTAACAATAGGGTTCAAAATGACCCTTCCCCTTTCAAAACTACTTTAATATGACTAAAAACTGCTATGTCAACACAAACGTTAAAAGTTAGGAACAAAGTCAAGCAAGTTGCTCCTGTTACCTGTCTTAGGGAGTTGGAAGCAGAATTCTCTGTAGTTTTCTCATTACAGCAAAGTCCAGTTTGCCTGATTTTGCTTTTCATGATTTCAGTTACCCACGTTCCAAAAATATTTGTGAGAAATTCCAGAAAAAACAATTTGTAAGTTTTAAATTGTCACTGGAAATTATGTGATCAAATCTTGTGATGGTCCCCTTTCTTCCCCTAGGACAGAGTGCTAGGGCCATACATGCCACCCACCTGCTGGTCACTTAGCATCTGAGCTGTGAGACATATCATGGTAGTATTGTTGGGTTGGAACACTGTGATTTCGGGGACCACTGGAGCTACAGGCACATCTCTCCTGTGAATGGGGGGACTACAGTATAAATTATCTGTCTTCGAAAGCTGTGTCACTATTTTTCACTCTGTTCAGAATTCTAATTTAGTTAAGACAATACTCTGTCATCAAAGAAGCTTCTTTTTCAAGAGACAGATAATTACAGAGTTCCACAACTGGTCACAGACTGTCTGCGAATTGCCCAAGTTTAAGTGGCACATCTAGGATGCAGCCTCTACACCTAAGGCTCATGGAACATAGAACAACGGATGAAGAGAACACTAATGCATTTTTCAACGCTCATCAATGAAGCTCTCTCATGCAAGAGGGCCAGGAATGCAAAAGCTCATAAAAGGCCAAAATTCAGAGAAAAAGAGTCTGTGGCATGTGGGTCCTTGGACAGGTCTCCTATGTTAAAATCTACCCACTCAGGGGCTGAGGGACCATTTCGAAAAAGGGGGTGGGAAAATTATAAGAGGCAGGGAGGAGGTACATGGCCATATGGAAATAGTTCTATAGGCGCCAGGGACCCTTCTCATACAAACACACAGCAATGGTGTCAGCATGCACAAGGCCCATGCAAATGTAAGCAGACAAAAACCCAGCAAAGAACTGTGGAAATAAATAGCAGGTCCAATCTTAGTCAAAGAATTATTGGCAGCTGATAACTGCTGGAAGGAAGCTGATTATTACTGCAAGGAAGGGCTGATCTTCTTAACTGAGGGACCCTAGATAGCTGACTAAACCCCAGTGGATAAACCAAGGGACATCTGGGGACACTAATTTTGCATGATGGGCCTTAACACAAATGACAGAACGTATGAACTCCAGGGGGGACTATGGGTGCCAAAGGAGAAGGGGGTATAAAGATGATTTTCTATATAAAATACACAAAAATTCAATACAAAATTAAAAAAAAAAAAAAGCAATACTATGAAATTTCTAAGGTCAAAAATACATCTGCCATTCTTACCAGCTTTGCACATCATAGAAGCCAGCAATTTGGAGACGATGGAGCCCCTCTTCCTCATTTTGCACTGCTTGCTGTAAGGAAAGTAAGGGATCACACCAATGATGCTCTTGGCACATGAGGTCTTACATGCATACACCATGATCAGGAGCTCCATGATGGTGGTGTTCACATCCCTGGAACCAATCAACAGTAGGAGACACTTAGTAATTAGCTTGAGCTGGGGAAGAACCACCGTTCAGTGAGCTTGAGGCCCTATGGTTTAATCCCCAGCACTAAAATAATCCTAACAGAACTGACTCCAATAAGGAAGGGGTCAACAGTGTGTGATTCATGACTGAAATTTAAGACACCAGACAGAGAAAAGACAGCAGTAAATCCCTCTCTTCCCAGGTCTCCATCAACTCTCCAAACTAGAGCACACAACTGATTCTCACTAAGAAAAAGACCATCATAAGACAGCTTTCCATACCACATACGCCAGTTACTGCAAGCCAGCCTGCCTCAGAGAATTCTGCACACATTACTCTACAGCTATGCCTTAATCCCCATCCCCTTTCTCTCATGCCCTAGCAATGCTCCTTCTCTGGGTGCCATGTCCTTTGTCATCCCTCCACTGTCTCTCATCTTCACTAGCCTGTGAACATCCTGGCACTTCCTCACAGTCCCAGGTCTTTGCTCCTCTTTCTGGAGCATCTCACGAACTGTCTACAGTTCCTCTCCCCTCTCTCCACCCTCAATCTCTCCTAACCACACTCCAAAACTCCAGTCTCTAAAACAGCCCCCAAGCGCCTCTTATCATGTGTCTAGACTCACTAGTCAATCATAAATTTTTCTCTGTCTTAGTCCCTCTGGAGTCTCTAAGGCTGCATGGGCCTCTCTCCTGGAGCCCCTCAGTTTACAGTCCATACATAGCAACTTGCCTTTAAAGTGGAAGTTGGCTGGAAGCAGGCATCTGCTTAAGGTCAGTCAACTAACAGGATTTTCTTTATTCAAAATCTCATACTTTTAGTAGCTGCACTAAATGTCTTTCTTTCTTTCCTTCCTTCCTTCCTTCCTTCCTTCCTTCCTTCCTTCCTTCCTTCCTTCCTTCCTTCCTTCTTTCTTCTTTTCTTTTCTTTTCTTTTCTTTTTTAAATTAGTCTCTTCTAAAATGAAGAAAGGAGCCAGGAATCTGATCCCTAGAGCTTCAATCCATCAATACAACAAAAGAGCAGCTGGATCAGATACCACTACATCCTCAGGCTATTTCACAACATTTCAGAAAGAAGATCCTGCAACCTAGATAAGACGTAGAAGGTGACATACCACATGGAGAGACAAGGAAGGGGGCACTGAGCAGTTCTGACTAGAAGAAACTGACAAAAGGCAGGCACAGTGGAAAACAGTGGCGAACCAGCAAGAAACAAAAACCACGGGAAGCGTTAGCGAGTTACTTTCCTGAGTTCTGCCTTCTCATTCACCTGGGCCCCCAGTGCCAACTTCTGGCAATCCCACACAACTCCGCACATGTCCAATGGAGTGCACCTGTCTGAAAGAGCTCTACTGCTGGCCAAAGGCAGCCTACGCAGTCCTGTGCTTCCTCCCCTAGTGCCAGAAGGGGAGAGGGAGACCAGCACAGGGGAAGCCTGGGCCAGGGAAGAGGAGGAGAATGGGGGCAGGGCAACAGGCACATGGTGTCCCCATGCCCAGTTCTGCTGAAGATCCCAAATGTCTCAGAAGAAGGTATGAGGCAGTCGTGCCCTCTGTACCCCCTGCCCTCGCTCAGAGCACATAAACTGTCCAGGGACAGGACACAAAGGTTCCTACGACTCCTCTTCCTGGAATAGCTGAGGGGAAGATCAAGAAGAGACGGGCACAACTTCGGTGGAAGTAGCATGATTCATGCCTTAGATTTCAGGAAAAAAAAAAAGACTATCTTTGCATTAGAGATGTATGATGTCAAGTTTAGTAAAGCAAACTCTGGAGTCTAGTCACAAAAAGAAAGGTGAGCAGGGTCAAACAACAACAACTAGAAAGATCATGAAGATCACGACACACACACACACACACACACACAGCACTTTTCAGACTCTAGGCTAAAAATGATACACCAGCTAAACTAACTTGTACACATGAAAAACTCTTCTGAGCCTATAGTTCTTGCAAAAGTAGCTCACAGAAAATATGGCTCAAAAAGTTAAAATGCGGTGCTTATAGACCATCTTAGGAGGGTAAGAAGGAGGAAAAAGGCAGGTAAATTGACTTTGGAAAGGCAGACAGGCCCAGAGAACTGCTCTGCACCTGGTGAGCTTGTTCTTCAGGTCTCAGGAACAGATGTCAACCTCTGAAAACACCCAGACTCCAGCCAGATGTAAGACACCTAGATCCTACTTGTAGGCAGACAAGGAGAGCTCAGAGAAGGCTCCCACACCTACCGATTCTCTAATGTCTTTGACTCAAGGTGTTCCTATGCTAGAGTGGTGCGGTTTGTTTGGGAGGGGGCAGGGCAGGATGGAAGAGGGCACCCGGTGCCTCTGTTAGCCCAAGTACCAGCTGTCATCACCCTGACCACTGAAGCTGTCCAGAGCAGCATGACCACTGCACCTGCAAACACAGACCTACTGTTGAGATGGGAAGCCCAGAAGTAAATTCCAACCAGGTCATTAAAAGAAAGAAAAACCAACTGTCTTGAGGAGAGCACTAGACACACTGGCACCTGGAGACGGGGCACAGGAAAGCAGACCCTGGCTGCCCTCTCTTCCAGAGTGCAGTGTGGCTGCAAGTGGTGCAGACAGCCTCACTGTGCCACTTCGTCCAGGGCAGCTCTCCCATCTGCCACCTCTGTTCCAGAGCACACACATCAAATGTCACACCAGTCAGGGACATACATCCCTTCAGTTCAGACTTCCACCCTCACAGCTAATTTATGCAACAAAAAAATAAATTACCCATACACATTAAAAAAACCCTTTAAGAATCACACGTAGCAATGTGCCCTCCTCCCCTTTGAGACAGGCTTTCTTGAGGTCAAGGCTGGACTAACTTGCTATGTAGCTATGCCAGGCCTTGAACACCTCATCCTCCTGCCTCCACTTCTTCTACCTCCCAAGGGCTGGGACTACAGGAATAGGTCACTATGATCTGGTATTCTATCCTTGAAGGGAAGAACAGAAAAAGTTCCCTCAGATTTTATGAAACTCTGGTCCTCAGCTGGGATACAGCTCGGAGGTAGAGAGCTTCTCAGTGTGATGGTTGATATTGTCAACTTGACAGGTCTAGAACTACCTAGATACAAGCCTCTAGACATGCCTGTGAGCGGTTATCTAGGCTGGCCCAAAAAATTTAAAAATATTTTAATTAAAAAATTTAAAATATTTTAATTAAAAACACAGCTGGGTGTTGTGGCGCAAGCCTTTAATCCCAGCACTTGGGAGGCAGAGGCAGGCAGATGTATGTGAGTTCGAGGCCAGCCTGGTCTACATAGCAAGTTCCAGGTCAGCTGGGGCTACAGTAAGACCCTGTCTCAAAAAGACCGAAAAAAAAAAAAAAAAACCCACAGAAAAGAGGGGTGGGGATGATGTAACCCAACTGGTAAAGTGCATGTTAACCTAGCATACACAAAGCCTTACACTCAATCCCTAGCACCATCTACAAGCACAGTAACAGATGCCTGTAGTCTCAGTGCTGACAGGAAGATCAGAAGTTCAAGGTCATTCTTAGCTGCACAGCAAATTTGAGGCCAGCCAGGGATACAGGAGACCCTGCTGTGGTGGCTCATGCCTTTAATCCCAGCATTTGGGAGGCAGAGGGAGATGGATTTCTGTGAGACTGAGGCCAGCCTGGTCTACATAGTGAGTTTCAGGACAGCTGGAGCTTCAGGGGACGGAGGGAGGGAGAAGAAAGGAAGGAGGGAGGGAGGGAGAGAAGGAAGGGAATGAGGGAAGGAGGAAGGGCAGACACAGTGCCCTATGTATCAGAAGGCTGAGGCAGAAACATCACTTGAGGCCAGGAGTCTGGGGCCAGCCTGGGAACATAACAAAAAAGGAGGGAAGGACAAAAGTCAGCAGTTATGTCAGAAAAACTAGCAAAAATACACCAATCCTAAACCCATTTTAATCCCTCCCATGTGAACACACATTCATGAGGGTAGCTGGAGGCAGCATCCATGCTGAGAGCTACTTACTTTGAGATGGTTTGGATGATAAACACATCTTTTCCCCTCACAGACTCTTGAATCTGAACTCTTGTTTCTGGCAAAAAGGGAAAAAGGGGAGGGAAGGTATATAGTTCAAATTTTTAAAAACACACACAAAGTCTGCATCAGTCTCCAACCTTATAAAATACTGAAACTGGAACTATTATAAAACTTAACAGAACTCACTAGACTTTAGATGCTGCAACAGATATTAAGCATATCATCATGATCTCACTTTGTAACCAGGTTTAGTTATATGATTGCCATAAATGGGAATAACCTCTCTGACTTGAATCAAATCTAGGCTTCTCCCTGCTTACATCAAGCAGGGAGTGCTGGGCCTTGCTCAGTATAGTCTTTGCTACAAAATGACCTGCTCAGTCATCTGACCAGCATTACTGAGAACTAAGGCATAATGTCGTGTGTTGTGGGATAAAAGAGAATCAAGATAGAATATCCCTGCTCTCAAACATCTGTGATCAGCCACAAGGACAAATCCAGAATAGGACACTAAAAGAGTAGGTCTGCAATGTCAACATCGGAGGAAAGAGAGGCAGGGTAAGGTATGGCTTGAGTAAAAGAGCAATGACATCACTTCCTGCTATGGTGGTGCTCATCTGTATCCCAACACCCAGGAGGCTGTGGCAGGAGGATGAAAGAGGTGGAGGCTAGCCTGGGATACAGAGCAAGACCCTGACTCAAAACAGCAAACAAACCAAAAATTAAAATAAACAAAAAACCAGATAACTCAAAGAATCCTAGTTTGAGTTTAAAAACTAATAAAAAGTAATTTAAAAAAACCAAACAGACATGCGGGGTGTGGTGGCGCACACCTTTAATCCCAGCACTCAGGAGGCAGAGGCAGGTCGATCTCTGAGTTCAAGGCCAGCCTGGTCTACATAGTGAGTTCCAGAACAGCTGGGGTTACAGGGAGACCTTGTCTCAAAAAGACCCCCCCCCCAAAAAAAAAACCAGCCATAAAGGGCCTTTTATGACAACTGAAAAATGTAAATGATTTCAACACAATAAAGAATTTCCTGAAGCGTGACAAAGGTATTCTACTTCTGTACAAGTACTTACTACACTTAGGAGATGTGCCAAGTACATAGGGATTAAATGTCCTGATGCCTGTAACTTACTTTCAAATGGACCCACACAGACATGTTCAGGCGGCAAAATGTTGAACCTAAGTGCTCAACACACACATGGGTATTTCAACTTTCTCACATTTGAAAAGTCTCGTTAAAAATGGTGGAGAAGGGGTTGAAGATTTAGCTAAGTGGTAGAGCGCTTGCCTAGCGCAAGGTCCTGGGTTTGGTCCTCAGCTCCTGGGCAGGGGGAATGGTGGAAAGCTGAGGGTGTAGCTTAGTGATAGAGCTTTTGCTCACAGCCCTGCACTCCATCTCAACAGGGAGAGGGAAAAAAAAAAAAAAAAAAGAACTGGGCATGGTGGTGTTCACCTGTAATCCCAGCACTCAGGAGGCTAAAGCAAGGGAATCTTAAGTTCGAGGCCAGCCTGGGTTACACAGTGAGGTCTTGTCTCAGAAACAGTGAAACACTTAGGAAAAATAGAGTGCATGCTTACAAAAGAATTGGTATGAGGCTACAAAATAAGCTTTAGAGTCAAGAGATCTGGATTCGAATCCTGGTGCTGCTACTTCTTGGTCATTTTATCTGACATCATCCCTGACCCAGTTTTTCAGTATCTAGAGACAGTAAAGAATCCAGAAATGTTAGTTTCTCTACAGTAAACCAAGATTTTCCACATCATTCCTAAGCCTGGAGAGTAAACGAGCTGGCTCTGAGTCCCAGCCCAGGCCTTCCACAGCTCTCTTTAATCCAGTATCCCGAAGGGCAATCTCCCCAGAGTTCAATCATGCTTTGCCCTGTGTATGCCATCTAAGGGACCTCAAGGAGAGAAAGGAGGAGGCAGTACTGGACAAAACCCAGCAGTGGAAGCAGAGAGGCGGTAAGTGTTTACTGAGAACCTACTATGTGCCAAGAGATTATCCCTTGAATCCTGGCCAAGGATTAAGCGTAAGATTCTCATGCCCATGAAAGCTGCCCATCACTCCTGCTATAATCATTTCACTAATAATGCCCATCATTCTATAGAAATTCCAAAGATTAACACATTTCTTAAACATACAGCCTAACAAGGTTTCAAGTCATGACCCATGGCCTTAGGAGGAAATAAAGAATAACCAGCTGAGGCTGGAGGCCCTGGCTTCAGTAATGCAGCACATATAAGCATGTGTGTATATGTATATGCACATGCATACACAAACTAAAATTCAACCAACATTTAAGCTAATATTTCCAGCTAACCAGCTCATTCACCTGTTTATGCAGAATTTACTGAATGAGACATAAGAACCAGCATGCAAGTCCCTACATGTGACTTGCACCAGGACTATTATCTAGCTGACATTAGTAGGCCCTAAAAACTACACCCTTCCACCTTACCTGCCTGACTTCCTGCTAACAGAACTGACCATATGACTGAAATTAATCATCTCAACAGTGCAGGATGAAGGCCTGAGCCATGACAGCACAATCCACAAGAGCCACAACACATATGTCCAAGAACGCTCACCTCTGTTAGGTTCCTGGTAAACCTGCACTTTGCCCATCTCCACCCCCAGACGCCTAGAGAAGAAAAAGGGGAAAAGCTGAGAAGGCAACGGAATAGACCCAACAACTTTACTATTAAAGATGACTCATTAAGTTGGTAAAAGTAAAGCAGTTATTCTTATGAAATTTAAAGTCAATATTAAACCTGTAAGTTCACTGACTACTCCTGAACTCTGCTACACAACCACCCAAGATCTATGCAGTCTGGATCTGTCTGCTTCCTGGACCATCTTCCTTCTAGTCCCTGCCCCTTCCCCCTGGGCACCAACACCTCCTCCTGAATGCCACAGGGCCTTGCAACCTCCCTCTTCACAGAGGGCTCTGCCCTAACCTTCATTTGATGGTTCATTTGAGTCTCTCAATACATAGACCACCCTCAGTTTAAAGGACACCTGAGAACCTAAGCTAAGGTAGAGCACTCTGCTCCATCCTAGGTACCCACTGCCTTATCCTGGCATTTGCTACCACCTGAAATTATCTGTTGGTTGTGTTGGCTTGCCTCTTGTCTGGCTCCCATACTAAAATGTTGAGAAGAAGGCGTGCTCACTGTTAAACCCCAACATCTAGATTGAGGTTTTGGCACAGCAGGCATCTGTTTAATCAGTATCTACAATTACACTGAACTATAGACTATCAACTACTTTCATGTACTACACACTTCCTAGTTTGCTACACTCACAATCATCTACACACAGTGCCACCTACCATACTCCCTGGCTCTTGGAGAACTCACTATTCACGGAGTCAATACTTGGGGAAGCCCTCAGTATGTTCAAATGACACACAGACTAACCATAAGATAGCTGTTTTCAAGCTTGACAATCACCGTTAATCTGATTATCAAATTTAAAACATCACAGAATGTATATGGAATTGAACAGTAAAAATGCAACTCACTCAGCAATTTTCTTTGAAAGCTCCATACACGATGAATTGGAATTTGCTGAAAACAATACCAGACCTCCTTTGGTTATATTCATCTTGGTTTCTAATTCAGGTGGCGCCACACAAAACATCAAAACCTTCTTGGTTTTCCAATCTCAGAGCCTAGAAGGATACAATATATATACAACAGATATAAAGACCCACCACATATGAAATACACCTGTGCATTTCTTTTTTAATAGAGCATGAGTTCAGCTGAAGGAAAATCATTTCCATCGTAATGGTGTCTTTTACATTACAGGAGATAGAACATAGGGAAACAGAAAGTTCCTTTGGATTTTAAGATTCCAAAAGCATAGAAACATGGCATCATGACTTCAAACTTTTCATACCCACTGGGAATAAATGATTAAACTTACAAGAAAGGTGGAGCTGCAGAGCTCAGTGTTTTAGTGTTTGCTGCTTAAAGTCAATTATGGACAACCTCCTGTTACTCTCTGACAACAAAACTCCTCCTGGATTAACACAGAAAAATGGCAGAGCCATTAGCAAGGACATGGACTGGCTGATCCTTAAGTAAAGAAAAAAACCTAACAAGACCCTCCTTTGATACCCGTTCTATCCCATAGCCCTGGTCATGTCTGGAACCCAGAGTCTTGCTCCTTCCCCTCCACTGGGACAAGGCTGATTAGACAACCTTTCAAGACCTGGTCTAGAAGTCACCATCCTTCCTAGGCAGAGTCCTTCTCCCTCAGTAAGAGTGCTGGACTAGGAGGAAGAGGCGACCTGTCCTTTTTCTGTCTTCCCCTTGTGTTCACTCAGGATAGCCTGGGGAGAGCGGTGGGACTGAAGCGGATTATTTTCCTTACATTGCTATATGCAAAGAACTACAAATATCTTCCTAGGGTTAGTGGGGATTTGGGTGAAGGTCACTAGCCCAGCCCTCCTCCTGAAGTGACAGTTCTTTCAGCTTGATATACACAGTCTCAGTCCTTTATTATCTTCATACGCATGCCACTTCTATTAAAAATATAGAAGAAGGGGCTGAAGAGATGGCTCAGCAGTTAAGAACACTAGTTGTTCTTGCAGAAGACCCGGGTTTGAATCCCAGCACCCACATGTCAGCTAACAACTATTCGTAACTCCAGTTCCAGATCTGACGGCCTCTTCTGTCTTCCGCAGGCATTGCACAACATGGGTGCACTTACTTACATGTAGGCAATACACACATACACATAAAATAATAAATAAAAATTTGAAAAAAAAATATGGATGAATACATGAAATGTTTTTAGCTCAACAGAGTATCATTGCACTGTAATTTGCTTTTCTACTAAACAACCTGGTTTACAAGGCAATCTATTCTGTTCTTCCTAACTGCTGCCTAGTCTTCCTTGGTGTGTCCATGTGGTTGTGAGCAGGTCGACAGGCCAGGACACATGCAATGGGATCACCTGGACGCAGGTCGTTCAGTGCAGTCCCACCAGCAGGTCAGAGCACCTTCAAGCAGAGCACCTCTTAAGGGACATTCCAAATGGGATAAGCCCAGGATTCCAACACAGAAAAAGGAATGGCTGGTTATGGGAAATTTCCCTTAAGCTTATGAATCACAGACACAAGTGTCTATACACCCCACTAACCAAAGGCAGTCAGGAGTCCAGGAGGCCCACTGGTGTAACACTGTAGAAACTGGCTTTGGAGCAGGGGCCTATAAACACTACTCAGTCAACTCAGGTTCCTCCAAAGCCTGCTCTCATAAAACTTAGCCAATTCATTTGCTTACCAACTGATGCCTGATAAAATGGTATGCTGAGTATAGCCACAGAGCCTAAAATATTATTCTGTCCTTTGCAGAAAAGTGTCAGCAAGCTCAGCGTCATGGGAATGGGGTGGTGGAAATGAAATACCAACAAGTCCCCCATTCTGGGCTGGAATGGCTTTGATGTCCTCTAGTTCCCTCTCACCATCTGTTTAGGAACCTTAGGAACCAGGGACAGGTCCAGGAGAGGCTGTGGGATCAAAGGTAACGCACCTGAAGTTATAAACACGGGCTTGGTGCCAAAGTCAGGGTTGCCCCTTCACTCCTAGTGCCCCTTAACTGATGGGAAAGTCTTGTTAAATCTGTTTCAGTTCCCTCATCCATGCAACTGTGAACACAGAGCTACTGTAAGATTTCTGCCAAGCACTTAACACAATGCCCTGCATATTAGGGCATGAATCAACTTCTAAATCTCAAATATAGTGATAAGTATGGGTTAACACCTTTCTACATCCCTAAACTTCAAATAAGAAGTTCCTGAGTAGGAATACAAGAGCTCTTCAGAGGACCCGGAAGAGAATAAAGTATCTTAGGGGTAGGAAGAGAGCTTAGAAGTACTGAGGCCTACCTGTGCTAAGTCTCCAAGATTCCCGCCAAGGATCTGCTCCACAGTGACTTGGACAGTCCCCAGGCCTTGGGCCCACATCAGTGAGGCTTATCACCCCAATTCTGCCTTAACTGGCCTCTTCTTGTCTTTCCTTTGAAGAGTTCTTCACACACTAGCCCCAGCCTATCTCAGCAGCTCTCTTGGCCATGTTCCCCTCCAGCACCTCTCCTAAGCCTTTCCTTTTCTTATGACTCAAATGCATATAGCAGCTTGCCTGGTTTCCAAAGTTGTTTCCAGAGAGCAACTGTATCTACAGCCAAAGACTGACATAAGAGCTGGGGTGTGGTTCAATGCTAGAGAACTTGCCTAGCATGGGCCAGGCCCTGGGTTCTATCACCAGCACTATCAGGAAAAAAAAAAAAAAAATCTTGGGGCTAGAGAGATGGCTCAGCAGTTAAGAACACTGGTTGTTCTTACAGAAGACCCAGGTTCAAATCCCAGCACCCATATGGCAGCTAACAACTGTCCTTAACTCCAGTCCCCGGGTATCTGACAGCCTCTTCTGTCTTCTGTTGGCATTGCATGACACGGGTGCACTTACCTACATGCAGGCAATACATACATACACATAAAATAACAATAATAATGCTGGGTGTGGTGGCACACGCCTATAGTCCCAGCACTTGGAAGGCAGAGGCAGGCGGATCTCTGTGAGTTCAAGGCCAGCCTGGTCACACAGTGAGTTCCAGGACAGCTGGGGCTTACAGGGAGACCCTGCTTCAAAAAGACAAAAAATAATAATAGTAAAAAAATCTTAATGTAAGCCATCCTCAAACAGTAGGATGAAGAGGGGCATGCACTGAAAGAGTACCCAAAGAGTCATTCTGACTGCTCTACTCACAAGCTGTCCACCTCGAAGGGCTGCTTCCAGCCTCCCTCCTCCTGTGCAAAATTCCAACTGTGCTTCTTACCATGTTCCCAGAGACCAACCTCAGGAACAGACTGGGCTCAGCAGGGTCACCAGCACAGGGTGCTCATTAGTGCAGTTTTAGTGTGAAATGGAGTACAATGTTCCCACTTTCCCATGTGCTACAAGTACTTTTTCATGTTTAACCTAAATTTACTTCAGAATATGTGAGGATTATTTATAGCATGGGTGAAAACACCCTTTCCAGAGAATCTCAGTAACTTCTAAAAAGCAAATCATGGGCTGGAGAGATGGCTCAGCAGTTAAGAATACCTGCTCTTGGATGGAGACCCTCATTTAAAAACCACCCATATTTCTGCATTCATACTACAGTCAAGGAGGGCTCTCACTGAGACTGGCCATTTTCCCTTGAAAGCATCCACTGTGTAACCAACACCATCTATGGCTAGAGAAGGGCTGGAGAGATGGTTCTACAATTAGGAGCACTTATTGCTCTTGTAGAGGACCTTGGGTTCAGTACCCAGCACCCACATAGTAGCTTACAACTGTCTGTATCTCCATTTCCACACCATCCATGGCCCTCTTCTGGCCTCTGCAGGCACTGCATTCACACTGCATACATACAAGCAGGCAAAACACCAATGCTCATAAAATTAAAATAAATAAATCTTAAAACAATATGCTTCTTAAAAAAAAAAAGTTAAGAGGCCAGAGACATGGCTCAGCAGTTAAGATGGCTCTTGCAGAGGAGCTAGGTTCAGTTCCCAGCACCCAGCAGCTAACAATCATCTGTAACTCCAGTTCCAGGGGATCTGACACCCTTTCTGGCCTCCACTGGCATTGTACAAAAGTGCACTTATATACACCCAGGCAAAACACTCATACATATAAAATAAAAATAAATAAATCAAAACTTTTTTTTTTGGTCTTTTTGAGACAGGGTCTCACTGTAGTCCCAGCTGGCCTGAACTCACTATATAGATCAGGCTGGCCTTGAACTCACAAAGATCCACCTGCCTCTGCCTCCTGAGTGCTGGGATTAAAGGCATGTGCCACCATGCCTGGCTCAAAACATTTTTTTAAATTAAGGAAAAAAAAAAAGGATTGCTAGAAGACAGGTTGGGCTTCACTGCAACAGACCTGGGGCACATCTTAGGTTCACTGAACCTTCCCGACAACTAAGATGGAGGCCTGGTAAAAAGCTTCCCCAACCAAAATGTAATAGCAAACAAACTTAGAAGCCATTTGTCAACAAAAATGCATCAAAGAGTATACAAACTTACTTTTACTAGTGATGCACCTCACTCCAAGAAAATCTGTTTCAGTGATAGAGCACTTGCCTACAATGTACAGGATAGGGGCCAAAACCAAAATCTGACATTGAGGAGATGGCCTGGAAGTGTACCTCAGTGAAGAGTGGGTGCTCCCTGCAGGAGGCCTCTGTTCAAAATAAAAGTCAATACTGAGAAAAACTGCATTATCCTTCCTCTTCTGCAGCCCTGGCACTTGGCTCACCTATTATCAGAAAGGTTTCTGATGGCTAATACTTAAGAGAGTTCTGATTTTTTGTGATAACCAGTGAAGCAGGTACTAGATTTAAGCCTATTTTAGGCCTGGGGAAGTGGTTTTAATATGAAGACAGGGTTATCTTTACTTTTCAGATCTTTAAACAAAATCGTGCTTGGTAAACGCACCTCCCACTTTCAGCCTTTCTACTTAAGACTGTGGCCTCTAAGGGACAGAGCTCAGTATGGGTCTGATTTGTGGTACACAATTCCTTGTGTACAATAGGTTGAATGGTCTTGGCCCACACAGAAAATGACTTGGCAACCTGGTGACCTCCAATTAGCTGAATCAAACATCCAGATTTTGAAAAATATCATTTAGGAAAAAGATTCCTATTAAATACCAAAGAAAAAACACAGAATTGTGACTTCATGTTTCCACTTCTTGGAATTTATCCCAAGGAAAGGGCAGAGTTACGTTCAATGAGGTAAGTGCAAGATTTTTTAAGAGCACAAACACTGGCCCTGTGTGGCAATCCTTCATGGGGCAATTAAAACTCAGGACAGCTATTGAATATAACATTCAACTTTATGCAAAAGCTGGGTAACGACGGTACAAATCTGAGCAGCTAGAGGATAAGACAAGAAAGTGGTCCTACAGTGGGGCTCAGTAACCTCCGGGATTTTTATTCCTGCATTTAAATTCGTAAACACACCAGGTCTAGGGTTGGCTAAACGGCTGGGCGCTGGTTTAGCTTGCAGTGCCTTGCGCTCCACCCCAGAACCGTCAAAAACCCCAACCCCTCAAAACCCCAGGTCACTAGAACTCACACTTCCTCAGCCCCCGAAGCCCCGTTCAGCATTCTCGCACTCCTCACAAAAGCTAGACATTCAAATTGTGCCTAGATTAAAGTAAGAAAAGCAAATCTTCGTAAGCACGCTAACAACTCGTTCAGGTGGTGTCTGACACTGCACCTCGGTTCCCCTCCGGAGCCGAGCACAACCTTCCTTTTGTGGACCCCACAATGCCCAGCAGCAGGGCCAGGCTACACCGCGGTCCGCGTAGGGAGCTGGCCGGGGATGAGAGCTGCGGCGCCGGGGGGACCGCGGGCCCCAACACGCGGCGCAGCCAGGATCACGACCGGGCGGGCGCTGGCCCGGAACCCCGCTGGCCCCGGAACCCGCCGGCCGCGACCCACCAGGCTCTGAGGGTCACCCGAGTGCACCTGGCCGCCGACGCCCGCCGCACGCTTCCGCCCGCCTACCTGGTCTAGATCCAGCCCGGCCTCGCCGCAGCCTCGAAAGCCAAAGGAAGTAAGCGGGCGCTCCAGACAGCGTCCTAGGAGCAAAATGGCGACTCCAAGCGCAGGGACCGCGGACCGTGACTGCGAGGCCGGGGGCGGGGCCAGAGCGGGCCTGGAGTCGCCAGGCTCTCGGGGCGGGCGTGGCCAATGGGGAGGGGTGTGTCCAGGGGAGGGACGGGCGTGGAGCCGAAGCAGGGTCTCAGGCTCTGGGTTTGGGACTGTGGGTGTGGCAGCCCTGGAGGGGGCGGAGAATGAGGCAGTAGGCGTGGTCATATGGTGGGCCCAGGCTCGAGGGGTGGGGTCGGAGACAGGGCCAGAAGTTTAAACGGGCTTTGGGAGCGTTAGGAGGGTGGGGAGAAGGTAATAAGGACGTAAGCATAGGTGTGGTCAGCTGTGTGGGTCTGAACCGAGGGGCAGTAGGTGAGCCTATGCCTGTTGGAGGTGCAGGCTCCTATAAGAGGAAGTTAGTTGCAGGTTGTAAGAATCGAGTCTGGACTCATGATGGGACATCAGGGTTCAAGACTGCCAAAGACCTGCAACCTTGAACAAGTCACCTCTCTGCCTCTCTTCTCCCCTCAGAAACAGATACTAACAGCACCCATCTCGTGAGGTTGTAATGATTAAATGAGGTATCAAATGTCTCAGCATGGTCCCTGGCATACAGGAGATGCTCAGTTATTATCATTATTATTATTCAGTTTGTTGTCTTTTATTCCTTTATCATAAAAGAATTGGTTACTTTTTACATTATATCACTGCCTGAATTCTTTATACCTAAAATAATGGTGATTCTTTATCATTTATAACATAACCTATGCAGCACTTACCAGCTATCAGGCCAGATCCTCTTCTAAATCTACATATATTAACACTAATTTACAGAGATGAAGTAGTTGTCTCCATTTCAATAGCTGTGAGAATGCAGACTTGACATTAAATAACTTTTCCAAAGACAAATCAAGAAATGGACATCAACCCAGAATGCATTCCCTGATGTCTACCATTCATGTATCCCATACTACTGTGCCTCCAATTAACAACCAAGTCATGCAGTCATTCACTGGAGGCCTGGCAGGTAGCTAGGATTCATTGGACAGCACTCAGGTACCTTGAATACACAGGAAGGCCCTTGGGTAGGTAGAATTCCTACATTGGAGGGTGCTTGAGTAGCTTGAATGCATTGCAGAGAACTTTTGTAACTTAAGTCTGTTGGAAAGCCCAGAGATAGCTAATTCACTGGAGGTTGCACAAGTAGCTGAGGCAGCATGTCTTTATAGTCCAACATGTTATTTATAGGCAAATAATAAATATTTCAAGTTATGAATTATAAATTAGGTGAAGGCGACACTTCACAGGTGACGTAGTTTGATATATTTGCTTTGCCTGCCTGACAATTTTCCTGAGACACATCCCTTCTCAAGGCCTGTGAGCCCAGATTTGCATGATGAAACTGATTCTTCTTCTACAAGAATTTTTTTTTTTTTGAGACAGGGTCTTATGTCTCATGTCTCATGTACCCAAGGCTTGCCTTGAACTCTCAGTGTATCCAAGGATGACCTTCAACCTCTGAACTTCATGTACTGGGTTTGCCTGACTTCCTGTCTTCCCTCTGAGGGCTCTCAGGACACACCCTCAGGGTCTGGAAGGGTTGACTTCACTCTGTATGTCTTGGCATGGGCTGGAACTGGTCAATCAGGACAAGTCTTTCCTTCAGCAGGCTGGTCACTCTAAGCATAGGCTGCTGAGCCATTTAGAGCCCAGGAACCCTATGCTGGCCCTACAGCAACACACTCTCAATCTTCCTACTCACACTCAGGCTACCACCACAGCTTCTATACCAGAAGGAAAACCATCTGAAAAAGATGCAGAGAGGAGGAGTGGAATATAGCCAACCAGGAAAGACTGTGAGGTCAGACCCTAGCCAATGGGGAAAAGACACAATAGTATTGTGTTAGGACTTAGGATAAAAACGTGTCCCATCCCATTTCCTGTGCTTGCTTCTCCATATCTCTTTTCTGAGTAGTGGACCCTTCTGATCAGAAGTAAAGGTTTGCCTTGTGCAGATGCTTTAATTGGGTGGTTCCCTCCTTTGCAACTCTGAACATATTTCTAATATGTTCATCTGGGAAGGTAAACTAAAGACGTCTGTTGGTTTGCCCCGGAGGTATTTATATAGCACCACCATTTATCCTGGTTTGATGGCTAAAGACCTGGCATCCTGGAAATAGCTCCAAACTGTTGCATTGTATCGTTGTATTGATATTTTGTTAACCTCCGATTCTCTAGCATATTTGGAGTCAGCAGATGTGAGTCTGAGAGCTCCCCTGGATCACAGGGATGGACAGTGAACAACTAACTCCAAAGCATAAGAGGGGACTGGTTTATCCGTTAATTCTTGGGAATTGTATGGTCAGGCAAAACCAAAGCTATACCATTGGCTATAATTGCCCAGATTCAGGCATATCCTGAATTACAAAGCAATTACAAACCTTTGTGGGGCTGTTGGGGTACTGGAGAGTATTCATTCTGTTAGAAATAAAATCTGAGGTCAAAGAGCCCATCAATACCACACAAAGAACACTCAGATGAAGTACAAGTAACTCAACAGGGTAGATTTTATTTTTGCAAAAGGTTCAGTCAGATTCAGCAAGCACACAGGACCCAGAAGCTTAGTAGGCTTTTATCCCTAATGGAAGAGGTACTGCATCTTTTCCCCATTGGCTGGGGTCCTCACAGTCTTTCCTAGTTGGCTAGTTCAAAAGATTCAGCACAAAGGGAGAAGAGCTCCACTGCCCCAGGCCATCAGGCACAGGAATGCCTCTGGCCTTTTCTTTTTCTTTAAAAAAAATTTTTTTTTTGAAGCCCCAGCTGTCCTGGAACTCACTATGTAGACCAGGCTGGCCTTGAACTCACAGAGATCTGCCTGTCTCTGCCTCCCAAGTGCTGGGATTAAAGGCATGCATCACCATGTCTGGCCTTTTAAAAATATTTTTATTATTTTATGTGTGCAAGTGTATTATTACCTGCATGTGCGTAAGTATACCCATGTCATGCAGTGCCCTCACAGCTCAGAAGAGGGTGTTGAATTCCCCTGGAACTGGAGCAAGGGACGGTTGTTAGCTGCCATGTGGATGCTGGGAACTAAAACCGGCTCCTCTGCAAGAGCAGCCAGTGCTCTTAACTTCTGAGCCATCTCTCCAGCCCCCTAGGTGTTCAAGTTGTACAGAGTTTGAAAGAAAAGACTAATAATATTTCTGTGATAGTAATTCATCAACAATAAGATAGTTGCTAAGAACTTTGGACCCTGAAGGGGCTCAAGATAAGATAAAAAGAAGAAAAGAATGAGAAAGGTAAACAGGAATCTTGCCTTCCCTTCAGTTTTTTCCTGAACCATTGAAATCTTTTTGCCAAACTGCTGCATTCTTGTGATCTTTTGTCTTGTGATCTTTTGTGACTGAGTGTGTATGTGTAACCACTTACTTAATTACTAGTATACACTACTTGCTAGCTTAAACTCTTGCAAATGAGTTGACTATAAATTTCCCTAAAAACTTGAGCTGGGCCATTATGGAATAATTCAGGTGTCAGCCCACTGGCATAAATAAACTTTCTCTCCTTCACCTGGACCAGCTATTGGTTTCTTGATTTCCAGAAGTTCCCGCAACATTTCTTACAATCCACCTGGCTCAGATATTACATATTCTGTATGTCTTATGTAATATAGAGTAGCTTGGGATTGGACTGAGGCAGCTGAAACCATTGACCATGCACAGATGCTTAGTTAGGGTCACTGACCAGATTCTGTCATTTGAATTGGATGTGACCATTGATATGGAGATTCTCCAAAATCCAGGGAACAAAAATCAGAAATCCAAAACACTTCTGATCCCAATCATTTTACTCAAGGGACGCTCAGCATGTGAACAATTAGGTGAGTAATTGTCAGTGTCTGGATTACAATTGCTTTAGTGAGGGCTTGTCCTAAAGACAAGAGGGACTTTTTTCTTCCTCACTGAACCCTCCAACTGCTCTATGGTGAACATGTCATGGTTGAACATTAGGAAAGGACACTTGGCAAGATGCCATGTACTTTCACAACAATAAGTTTGTTGCTGTGTTTTTGTCTTTATAAGGCACATGAGTGTTGTTACAACTGAGGACCCGTATAGATGCATTATTATCACCCAAAGACTTTGCTGACACTCAGGTTCACTCATAGTGTTGCACATTCTATGGGTCTGGACAGGTGTTTATTGACATCCTTTACAGCATCATACAGAATAATCCCACTGCCCTAAGCTCCCTTGGCAGACTCTGCATCTTGCTTATACTTACTTAGAACTCTGCCCACTCAGCTGAGGTTCTGCATGGCATACTGAAGGTTAAAGGGGAGAAGCCACATGAAAAAGATTAAGGTCTGTATAGGTCCAAAATCTAGTTGTTGCCAGTGTTACCTTATTGAAAGATGGAGCCTGTAAGAGGTGATTGTGCCCTGTGGGCTCCCTCTCCTGAATGGGATTAAGGCCCATACAGCACAGGCCTCAAAGTTTTCAGGTGCTTGTCCTTCTGCCACAGGAGACTGAACATTTCCCTCCTGGAGGAAGCAGTCCACAACTTCCTAAGCCTCTCCTGTTGTGGGAGACTGAGGGGGAAGATGGGACTCAAATCACCCCCAGCTAGGGAATCCATGACAGACCAATGTAAAACATCACAGTTCAACCTGGTGAACCAATGAATTAATTGCTCTTCCTGTCAGTAGTGTGGGGAAGTTTCAGTAGCAGGCTCCCTCGAAAGGCAGCTGCATCACTGAAAAGCCCAGATGCCAGTCTGGCACTGACTCAGGAAAGCTGCAGTCCCAGAGCTCTCTGCTGGACTTGCAGGCAGCCTGGCAGGTCAGCGTCTCCTCCCCAGCAGGGTTTCCAACTTCTGAAACCTTGTGGGATGCAAAAGGGGGCTGTGGACCTTGCTTGTTTCTGCTTTCCCAGTCTCTTGAAATCTGCTTATTCCTCAGTCTCATGAGCCTCTCTTGTCCTTCCTGGAAGGACTGTTTCAATTCTGAGGACATTTCTACACTATGTATCCACAAAGTATACCCACAACTGGTCATTTTT